TTTAAATGTTAATTAAAACAGATGCATACTTTTAATTTGATGTTATATTATTAGTTATTATGAGGTTGTGCGGCACACCTGCTTGCTTTCCAAATTACTTTGGAGTTCCAGGCCTAACCACGTGGAGGTGAAGTGTGACATTTTCGAGTATGAGAGGCTAAGTGTAGTGTAAACTACATGTATTGCGCATCATACTTGTTTGTCTAGGCCCAACACATGGGCCAATAGAGACAAACACAATTTTGAACAAAGATCTTTAATGTTTAACAATACACAAATGTTTTTAAACACACAAATGTTTAACAATACCTAGGAATCCGGGGTAGGCAGAGTTCAACATGTATATGCATATTGGTCAGACGTAGACAAACACTCTGAAGGGACAAACANTAGGAATCCGGGGTAGGCAGAGTTCAACATGTATATGCATATTGGTCAGACGTAGACAAACACTCTGAAGGGGCAAACACAAAGACAAAAGAAAAGAAAATTCGGCCACGGGACGGACTCATTCTGGGTCATTTGGAGGCTGGTACTGACGCAGCCGTTCCATTTCCTCTAGGGCATCCGTGTTGCAGGGGGTCGTTCCCGTGAGCTGCTGGCAATCCAAGCGCTCAATGCGTACGCCATCGAGTGATCGCACTCGGCTGAGCATCACGTACGCCTGGCCTTTCTCAAACAATTTCGCAAGGTAGACCACGGCGTGATCTACCGTGCAGCCCTGCATCTTATGAGCGGTGCACGCCCAACAAAGAATTAGTGGGAGCATTCTACGCTCAACCGTTCCGTAATTCATCTTGGCGGGAAACTCGACGCATTTCGGCTCAATGCGATGGATGCCATCCCTGCCAAAATCAATGCTGACTGCGGGAATGTCGCGATCATTGACTTGGTCTTGTCGGTAATACGGCCAATGAATCTCGGTGATATTTCCAATCGAGCCATTCACCAATCCTCTTTCAACATTGATGTTGGATCGCAGCATCACTTTCGCGCCAACAAATATTTGCAGAGACTTGGGTAATGCTCCAGTCTTGTTGATGTCATCGGAGACAATCTTGCTCATGTCGACATTGTCGGTATTGCGTGTGGACTCAGTTATACGATCTTGAGCTACAATCGTATAAATTCTTTGCTTTTTGACTGTTCGATAGTACTCAAGCACAGCATTGTTGTGAAGTTTTGCATTCGCAAGTAATCATTAACTTGTATAAACTCACCCCTGAGACGAACATCAATGTAGCTAATCATATACGGCTCGTTTCGAGAGCCCACTGTGCGTCTCACAATTCGTAAGAAATCCTCCATAGTGTCGCACTCGATTACGCATGCGTGTCCATTGATTTTAGCACTTGCTCCTCTGGCACCGCAAGCATGCGAATCGGTAAAGTAATATTTGGCATCATAGTGCATGAGGCCAAGCGATTTGGAGCCGACAACGAGAACACCCGCATTGTGTTCCTCTAAGAGACGTGCAATGCCATCTTGCAACGTCAAGCTAATGACACCATCATTGACACGATCTTGAAGGCTGCCATTGCAAAGCCAAAAATCGTCATAGTCCAGCGCGAATGACCTCTCATACATGATGATATCATCACGTACGACATCCAGATTCGCTAGCGACAAATAGCCATCTTCTGGAATCGCATGCACAGGCACTTCGCTTGAATCACTCATAACTCGAATTTGTAGATACAAATCGTCACCTGCGAGCATATTTTGGTTCACAGCGTTTGTATCCCACTGACGAGGTGGGAGAAGCGAAGCTCTAATGATGTTCGCTGTGACCATGGCGAAGCACTGAACACCGGCATAGCCAGACGTGAAAATTTCAGGCTGACCTTGATGCCAGTTCGCGCGAATAATTCGCGATGCATCGTTGATTGCCACGTATGCATATGGCGTTGGAGGCGCAGTAAAATCAGGCGCTGCGTCCGGCTGCTGTGATGGCTGAGCAGGGACGACACGAACCAAGTCCTCAGGCTCGAGGCGCGCAAAGTGATTGATTTGCACATCCTCATAGAGAGGATTGTGTGCTATCAACCAACGAAGCGCTGCATAGAGATACTGGCGACGAATGGGAAAGTCACGCGAGATGTTCAAATTCTCAAGCGTTTCTGTGACAATCACCATGCCTGAATCATCGCTTGAGCGAGGCAGCATATTTGGTAGCTTTTCGCTAACCTCAAATATGTCGAGCGCAAAAAGAATAGCCTGACCCTTGAATCCATATTGACCAAATCGACCACCAAATTTGATCACTTTCAAATACGGATTGATGCGGCGCAAGAGTCGGTATTCGGACTCGTGCAAGTCCTTAATGCAATCTGGAATCTCGCCAGGATCAAGATTGTTCCAGTATGCCTTTGGGGGAGCCATTCGATTGCGCGCATTCTTCAGATGCGACTCGCAACGATAGCAAACTTCCAGAATATTCTTCTGCGCAAGCTCTGGAGGCAGATAATCTTTTGCAGCAAGCAGGTTATAGCGCTTCACCTGATTCGGGTAGCACTTTTTGCGGCAGATATCGCAGGTTCGGTCGCAGAAGGCAGCAATTTTCTTCCGGAATTTACCAAATCCTGCTGAGTGTAGAGCATAAGCAGTGCGACGGCGTTGCAATTCTGCTTGATACGCTTCTTCATCTAAACGAGCGTTGACATGCCTTTCACGATCACGCGCCTGGCGAGAAGCCCTCTCTTCTTCTGGCTCAACCGCACGAACAGCAGCCATATGCTCTTTATGTTTGGCCAAGCGCTCTGCACGCTGGCTTTCTGCCTCAGATTCAAGCATTTTTCGGCGCTTAGTAAGTCGTTCTGACTTACATTGTTCCGTTTCCTGCGAGCGCTTCTCCTGGTACTTCTGTCTTGCCTTCTCTAGCCGTCGCTGCTTTTGGGCGGCCGTTTCCTTCACCATTTTCGAAAGTTATAATGACCAAGATATCTATATAAAATGTTCACTGTAATAGAAGATTAATAGAAAAGTGAAAATGACTAAAGTAGAATGTCACTGTGCTAGACATGAAAAACGTTGTTGCGAGCCAATTTACTTGACTTGACGTACGTATCGATGATACGAAGCGTATCATCGATATACGCAGTCTAAACACGAATATATTCTCGAATATGACGTGCATTAAAGGTTCCCAAACCCCTGCTTGTGAGTTCCTTTAGAGTTTATACGCCTGGAAACGTGCAACAAATTATTGATAACTGTATTGTTATCGGGAGCTGAGCTTCCCTAAAAGTTTCAGAACGCTAGCTAGTGGGAAAGTTGATGAAATATCGATTGCAAGATTTGATCATCACAGACAGACAGACACGAAAGCGAGCTAAGAAAAACGTGGTAAAAAGGAACCACCTTCTGCAGGAAGGTGGTTCCATTTAGATACTTTTTCAGGAAAAATGTCGTCTGGCGGAATTAGGTTCTGTTTAAGATGACGACAAACTGTTGAGGGTGGGGACTTCCAGGTATTCTGCTCCATTCAGAATACTATAGAGTCCCACCCTCAACAGTATGTCATCCCATTCAGCACAACTCAATACCGCCAGATGACATTTTTTCCCAGAACCATATGCAATTGTAATCACCTTCTTATGGATGCAGTTACAGCGCCATTGTCGGACGCATCCCGGGCCAGAGTTGCCTTGATTTAAGTGTAATATGCTTGATAAATTCAGGATGCAATGATAACTTCAGTGTAGCAGATTCATGAGCATGTTGATATTGGTTACCTGCAGCAGAGAAGAAGACTTACCTGGTTCTTCTCCGTGATGGTGCAGCCCGAGCTGTGGGTCCACCTGGGTCCACTTACCTGGTTCTTCTCCGTGATGGTGCAGGCCAAGCTGTGGGTCCACCTGAGCATCGTAGGGCAGCAGGTCGCCTGTGAGGGAGAAGCGTGCCGTGTAAGGCTCGTCTTTGAGACGCGGTGCCGACACTTCTGGCAGGGGCAGAGTCCATCGTAACTTGTCCAGCTCTACCTGTTAAATGAATAATTTTAGCGCTAGTCTCTACACACTTACTCACGACATGCTTGCTTTTCTATTTAAAAATTATAAATTTTTTATCGACAATTTCAAACACTTGAACAAAGTCGCCTCTAGAATAAACAATCATAAAAGTTTTTTTTTAACATCGCCGGGATTACTGCCCTCGACACCAACTTAGCTTTTTGTACAGCTCATCACAATTATCTTAAGCATCAAATAAATATAATAGGTATACTCAACTATACACGCTTTCAAGGTGCATAAATTTTCAAGTAAATCTATAGGAAAAAACTATTTTGTCACCAGAAAAATTTATAAGCATTCACAATAGAACATACTTCTCAAAAAAAATTGTTTAAACTACAATACTGCATCCTAAAAATTACAATGTTGTCCATGTCCAATAAAATTCTCACAATTAATATTAAATTCTCACAATGCCCACCACATCTCAGATAATTTCCAGACATGGGGCGCAGGCCAGATCAAAAATGCAATAATCATTAACAAAATCTGAAGAATAATGGCAAGGAAGAGACAATTTAGGCTGCAGCACCAAGACTTACTTTGTCCATATGGAGCCACTTGCTGGCTGCCATTTAGGCTGCAGCACAAAGACTTACTTTGTCCATATGGAGCCACTTGCTGGCTGCCATTTAAGCTGCAGCACCTGTCTCTTATACACATCTAGATGTGTATAAGAGACAGGCCTTTACATTTCTGTTCAAAACAAGAACACAGCCTTTACATTTCTGTTCAAAACAAGAACACAGCCTCTACAAAATGTCTGCATCCCTCTGAATGGGTCATTCAATTTTTAAATATGCCCAGCTACACTGTCAACTTGAACATAGATCAAATACTAGAAAACTACATGATGGAACCATGAAAGAAACATCATTATAACAACCATACCCACAGGCATATTGTAATATAGGTATTCATCTGGATTTTAACCACATTTTACAAATAAAGGGTTGGGAACTCAACAAAAAAAATCATCATGTAAATTTATTCACCTTTTAAACCTTTGAAATTCTTGTGCTGAGGTTCTTGATGAGAACGCAGGCCCCTAATAAACTCCACCAGTTTGGGGTCACATTGAGCCAATATTTCATCCCGCTCCTTCTGTATCTCAGCAGGCGTCAGCTGTGACAATCGCTCCAGGTTTTCTTTGTGTATCTGAGCAGCCTCTTGAGCCCCACCCTCTAGAACTCCTTCTCCGCACACCACTGCACTTACACTCTCTTCTGTGGTAAAGAATTTCATTAAAAGTTCTGCAACTTTGGCTAGAAGAAGGTTAATTTAAACAAATGACTTATAATATAGGTAGATATTTAGTTCACTTTTGAGCCCCACCCTCTAGAACTCCTTCTCCACACACCACTGCACTTACATTCTCTTCTGTGGTACAGAATTTCATTACAAGTTCTGCAGCTTGGGCTAGAAGAAGGTTAATTCAAACAAATGACTTATAATATAGATATTTAGTTCACTTATTTATTCATACGGTTCAGGAGCAACAATCAATATATAGGAATATATGCAAATAATATTTTAACAAAAATATATCACTACCTTCTTGATAAGCTCTATTTAATTCCTTTGAAGCTTCTGAAACCAATTCACTTTTCACAGGACTAGTTTCAAACAAGCCAGTTTTGCCAATGCTCTCCATGTACTGACGATAAAGTGATTTCTCTGACTGGCCTTCAAATTTCTGCACAAAAGAATAAAGGTCAAGATAAAACAGCTAAAGGTAGTAATACCGATGAATAAAAATGAACACAATAACAGAACAAAAAGGTAAGTCCAACAAGTGTAAAATACTTAAACCTTAACAGATATTTCTCAATAAAAAACCTAAATCATAAACACAAAATGGTTTCAATCTGCCATTACTTTTCACGAAGAGTGTCACATTAGGCTAAGAAAGGAATAAAATTTTAAATTTTATTACTATACTACCATATGTTAATTCCAGCTTTCTTACCTTGAATGGAATGAGAAAGGGTTTTGGATTGCCTAAGGGCTGAGGAAGACACCACTGAATGTCATCTTCTTTGGCCCAGTCTTCCAGTGAAGGCACAGGTCGCTCAACAATTTTGCCCATCACAGCAGCACAAGCACTTTGACGTGACACTGCCAGCAAATTTAATGATTCTTTTCAATTATAAGCATTTTTGAGTCAATGGCCAACAGCAATGGAAAATATTTATTATGTGAACCAGTGGCAGAAATTTCAGAAATTTTTTTATACAATTAAATGTTCTCACCAAATATAGGTAGGTACTATATTACTTATCAAAATGGACAGCAATTCTATTTTGAAAATTCTATGTAAATTCATTACAATTAATCCTTGAAAAATGTTAAGAATCATTATCAGTTATTTTAATATAAAGCAACAAACCTGCTTCTTGCATCACAGTGTGATCCACCAAAGCTGTGCATTTCTTTTTCTTGCTCTGTGCGAATCTAGATGGTATATGTTTTGGAACACATTCTTCAGGTCTCCCACCTTCCATCATTATACAGTTTTTAAACCATAAATAAATATATAAAGATTTGTTATATATTTTTTCTACATAAATAAATTGAGAGATTTATTCTAATTATGCAGTGTGTCCTGCAAAAATGCCAGTATGGTAATAAACTTTCTTCTGTTGTTCCCTATCCTTTTTTGTTCTAATTATCTCATTTACCGCAAGAAACTATGAATTAAATACTACAATAAATAGAGACTGCAATCAAATGATGACATGAAAAGTCAAAGTTTTGACTGGTTGTCCCACTTAATTGGTGATGAACCTTCTGGTAAAAATCACACCTTAAACCATAGGGGTTTAAATCACACCTTAAATCACACTTAAACCCTAGCAATGGCTCAAGTCACTCCATTTTATGGTACATTTGGAATCTTGCTCCCGATAGTGCACTTTTATTTCCTATTAGATAGGAAGTAATTCATCTAGAGGGAATTTCGCAGTTACAAAATGGCCAGGAAGCTCTAGTCATGGCTCAAAAAGGAGATATATTTCATGCCTGTTAACTGCTTGGAAGGTAGATTATTTAGATAAATTCAATAATAATTCCACGCCGGGTAGGATTGATAGTATATCAATACCTTCAAACAGGGCACACCATTAATGGTGCCAGGGCTCATTAAACGACCAGTGAGTGAATCTCCAGTTTGTTTGCTTCGCTTACGATCAGAATATCGTTGTGGTATCTTTTGTACAAAATTAAACCTGGTATTCTTTCGACAAAAGTTTTTTCCAAAGAGTACATAATTATGCTAACACAATCATATGAAGAATATGAATATATCATATGAATATGAATACATGAAGTCGACTCAACTAATGGCTTGCATTGCAAGGCTTGTCTTTCTCCTTCGTCCGTGACCCGTGCAGAGTATACTCACCTATTACCAGCAGTACTCCAAAGTCCTCCTCTGCCTTTGTAGATGTTGTAGATGTATTATAGAGGACATTTTACTTGATTTATACTTGATTTCCTTTATTTATATATCACCGCATACATCTCCATTAACAAAAACTATTTTTTCTGTTCTATATCTAACACTATTAAACTAATTTCCATTTCATACAGTAATGCTTGCACTTAACATATATTTTAACTTAAAACTAAACTGTTGCAGTTCCTTCTTGTTTATTAGATTACAGCTAACCAAAGCTACTATAAGCCAACTCGCTAAGCATGACATTAAAACATGCTTCCCACGCTTTGTGCCGAGGAGGGTTAGTTTAAGCTTGATGTTTTCTCGTCCGACTGCAGCCATGTCAGGCTGAACAGGGTAGACAAATGATAGGTAGCCTTTTTGCGTCAGTGCTCTTCTTTAAGAATTGAACCATGACATCATAGTCATTGTCTTGTGGTTGTTCTCTGACGCGAGTAACATAAAATTTCACGCATTGTACCCTACACTCTACCTTTAACCTTACAAGGATGAAATCATCTTCCTTCAAGCTGATCCTAGAGATGTCCTTCTGAAGTTCCTGGAACTCATCTAGATATCCAGTGATCTCTTGAGCAACAGCAGGGTCACTTTCATCTTTTGATTCAACCTCATTATCCACATCATCTGCATATTCATTGAACTGTAACACATTCTTTGAACTTGTTGCCTGTTCCTTCGATGCCAATGTTGCTGCTAAACCTGAAGTAATGGCCCTTGGCCCTGTGTGCAACTTCCCAGGAGTTAGCTTGAAAGCCTTCCTTTGTTTGGGTGCATTATTGGCTTCAGTGTGTGGTGAGTGGATTTCTTGGAGTTTCTTCAGCAGAGTATCAGAGACCAACTCCCTAGCATTTTCAATATTTTCTTGCGTGGTCTCTCTACAATGTTTCCTACAGAGCAAGTGTTTGTACCGGGTAATAAAATTATTAACCCAGTCAATGCCTGGCATATTGTTTTTGAAGCAGATGATCTTCCTGCCACTCTTATTCAAGAAGTCCCTTACAGTCATTCGGATCTCAAGGTGGGTCAGAGGGCACCCCCAGTCAGCCAGAACAGCCAGGTTTTGGACAATGACTCTTTCTTCTAATCTTCTTAAACTATTAGTTATGTTCCGACATGACAATCTCACCTCATTCAAAGGACTTCAGGTCCCCCTTTCGGAGGACAGGGAAGGATTTGCTGTCGATTTGGGCCCGCATCCAAGCCACACTCCAACCGCATTTTGGGGCTGAAACAGTTTGTACACTTTTGATACTCCTTTTCCTTTATAGTCAGTCACCTGGCAGAGCACTGTATCTAAGGAAAGCTTTCACCTTGGCTGGAAAGATTTTTTGTGTAAACTTCCATTCCTAGAATTCCACCCTGGCGGCTGCTGCCACGCCCGAGGCTGTTCTACATGTCGGTGTAATTCGAAGCGAGAAGGTCCAGGCTCCAGCCAGGGCAGCAGCAGCACAGCCAGTGAGCCAGGATTTGCAGGTGCAGCTCCAGCTTCTTGAAACCCATTTGATAAAGCAGTTAGTAATTCTGAGGAGCTGATGTGCAGTCTGCAGTGTACAAAAAAAAACCAAACTCTTTCACGGTTTCATCCAACTTTAGCGGCTCTATGCTAGACTCAGCAGGAAGATAACTGAATTGGCGGGTTGCCTGCCAAAGATCATCACTGCCCTGGATGTAATGGACCATCATGATTCCTGCCTTCTGCCGCTTCTGGAACATAGCCTTCAACACTTCAAGCCGTCTGTATCTAGGCATCTAGCTAGGCCTTGGGTCGAACCAGCACTCGGTCGAACGGCCACTTGTCAAAGGACGATAAATTTTGGAACAGAACTATAGGTGCCTGTACACAACAATAGTATTAGCCGCTAGTTCATCTGCCACTTGAACTGTCCATGCTACTTACTAGCCTCGTGTATAGGGGTTCAGCCGCTGCAGAGGCATGCGCCGGCAAGTGCCCAAGATGCGGCCGAGAATGTATTGATATCTTGGCTGGAGAAGTGGCTAGTAGCGCTGATGCAGCCATGGTGAGAGCATCTGTGCCACGCCTGTGAAGTGTGAAGTATTTTGGGTCTAGTGTATCATGGCTTGTTTGAACGATATTGTTTCTAAGAGGAATCCAACAAAGTGGATTCCAAACGATATTCAATTATTCTTTGAAATATTCCAAAAATATGAATTAAAGTACCGTATAATGTTTGCCATGATGGTTACTCCAACAAAATGAAGAGAGAAACGAGTATTCTGAAACGGAGAGAAGACCTTATTAGTCAGGGTTTAGTTGTCCCCAACGCTGTATTTTTAAGGGCTAGAAAATCGAGTAGTATAAACAAGACGTACAAACTTGAGTTGTTGAAGGTGATCACACTATCCATCTTCACAAACCTCATTCGACGGCTTCTAACGACGCACTGGCAGGCGCAAATGAGAAGGTAGCGTCACCTGCTACTCTCCTCGTGTGTACAGGCTTACTTGCCGCAAGCGACCGTCACTAGCCAGCTTTACTAGTCGTCAGCACTATCCCTGTGTACAAGCACCTTAAGCTATCTGAAACCTAGCGTCAGATGCGGTGAACGTAAAATTACGTAATTTAACGATGCCCAGAAGTCAGATTCGATCCACGGCCTGATGGTGCATGGCAGGTGGTGGTCAAGCCCGAAAGAGGACAAAGCCGATTGGTGCTCGGCTGATTGGTAGATGTCCGGAGAAATCCAAGACATTCGTATCGGGGCTTATTGGTCCATAAAATTGGTGGTGCACGGCTGCGCTTCCAAATTGGCAACCCTGCAAAAGAGGGAGCGCAGCCGTGCACCACCAATTTTGTGCACCAATAAGCCCTGAATCGAACGCCTTGAATCTCTCCGGACCTACACCAATCAGCCGTGCACCACTCGGTTTTGTCCTCCTCCCGCCTTGACCACCACCTGCCATGCACCACCAGGCCCAGGCCACGTATCGAATCTGACTTCTGGGCATCGTTAAATTACATGATTTTACGTTCACCGCATCTGAGGTTAGGTTTCAGATAGCATAGTTCTGTTCCAAAATTTATCGTCCTTTGACAAGTGGCCATTCAACCAAGGGCTGGTTCGACCCACGGCCTAGATACGGACGGCTTGAAGTGTTGAAGGCTACATTCCGGAAGGCAGGAATCATGATGGTCCATTAGAATAGACTAGAATAGAAGTGTCAGCATTGAAGAAATAGGCCCATGGCCTGTTGCCGATTCTTGAACATTTCGTGACTTGATTCACAAGGGATCCGGCCTTTGGAACACGATCTTTCCATAGCTGACAATTGATTGAAATAGCTGCTGGACCTTTTGCCTGGTCCGTAATTTGCTAGGCATTTTAAGACTGAACATATGCTCCTGCATAGCTTCGTCTAGTCTGTTTTTGAAGATGTTCATACTCGGAGCATCAACGATGCTATCAGGGAGGCTGTTCCACATGTCGGTGACTTGAAGCGAGAAGAAATGTCATCGCATGGATGTGTTCCAACGCTGTTTTTTTTAGTTTACAGCCGTGGCCCCTGGGCGCTGCATCCAGGGCAGTGGTGGTCTTTGGCAGGCAACCCTTCTTCTTCTTCTTGTTACTTCTTATAGGAGCACTGGAAACTGGTCCATTTAGCCCCTTGCCTAAACAGTTTTTGGTTTATGGTTTATGCCTATCATATAGTAACAATCTAAGTATCTAATAATCTGAAAGAATCTGCAAGAAAAAAAAACACACACACAAAAACAAGAAAAAAATAAAAATAAAAGTAGTAGTAGTAGTAATAGATTTACTAGCGCTTCTGATAGCTATCTATTTCACGCCGGAGGTGAGATCTTCAGTTACGTCAAAGATATTTGGTTTCTTCCGTCTTCAAGGCTTATAGCCTGGTCCATTTTAGGCGCAGGGGCTGGGCGGTAGATTCCCTGCTCATGGAGCAAGGGTCCGCTCCGACTTCATGTATCAACTCCAGCACAAGTTTAGTGAGGCCTGGTCTAGGTGATGCTAAATGCTAAAGGTCACACATGGTCTAGGTCATGCTAAATCTCTGGCAGCAGGTTGCATTCCATCAGGTATCGTCTAAGGTTATCGGTTTCGAAGTTACTTCGCCAGTCCTCCTGCAGCATTCTAGTGAGCATCTCGTTATGATCAAGGGCAGATGTGTTGGAGTAGTAGCAGTTTTGTCGGATGTTGTTGTGGCTAGGGCACTCCGCCAAGACATGCAGAACTGTCAGGGGCACCAGGCAGTCGTCACAATATGGTATAGGGCGCCGCT